CTCTGTCACCTCTGTCCTCTCCTGGTATCACTTGCACTTTGAGGCAGCTCCAGAGACAGGGCAAGGGACGGATGTTTCTGTCTCTCCTGTGGTGTAAGATGAATCTGCTAATGAGCTCTGCAGGACGCTGTCAGCTCTCTCTCATTGGTTACTCTGCAGCACGTCAGCCGTGCCACCTCTGAACCTCACCATTATTTGATCCACTTGTGTCCTATAGAAGTGCGCTGTCAATCAAAAATAGCCAAAATGCAAACGAATGATCTGCCTGGTGGTTTGTTGTTCAGTTTGTGTTCTATCTGATTTGTAGGTTTTACAAACAAAGCAATGCTCCTTTTTCTGATTTCAATCCTCAGTATTCATTCTCAAACATGCCTTATCATCAGGAGACATCATTTAAATGTGCACTTTTTATGGATAGCCATGTTGACATAACCTTTTGTTAAATTTGATGAGATTTTGAAAGCCAAAAGAAATGTCATTTCTAAAGTACATGATATGTACTACTATTGGTAAAAAGCAGTCTTCACTGTGGGGTATTACTTTAGAAACAGGTTTCTTTGCTTCCTGTTGAACCGGTTACACGTTTAAAGTATAAATGAACATATCACTGAAATGCAATTCAATAAATGTTTTCATCTGAAAAAACGTGTCAACTACTTAACCTCTATAAGAGATTGCTCACAACCCTGATCTCCCTGAGACATTCAAAGTGAGGTTGACGAGAGCAGTGAGACTGAATTCAAACAGTGAGCTGTGGAATCTGCAGGGTTCCTCTCTACATGCAAAACACTTTCACATTTCACTTCACACGATTATAATGTTTTCCATTGTTACTATAACAATATTGATTATTTAAAGCCGCTTCTGAGCACTATCTAGATCGGCATCATCCATCTGTTTGACCCTCGTAGCTGTCCTTTGACACTAAAACTGTGTGAGGGTTCAAGTGAACAACTGTGAACAACTGTTACACTACCTGCTGCATGATGTGATGGAGAAACTGCTTTCCATGGTCACCATATGAATCAGCTCCTCTCTTGGCTTGCTTCTCCTTGTCTGGCTCAAACATCACAAAGGTTTTCACAGGCGGATGTCTTCATCTTCTGCCTCATCAGCCCTGAGTGTTGATTATACGGGCTGGAAATGATGATCCTACCTGTGGGCTTGTTGTTCCACAGCTTCTGATTCATTGGGAGCAACAGGAGATAACTGTTTCCCAATCAGAGCAAAGCACTAAGACTTGGACAGGAGCTTTTTGTACCCTCTCATCAAAATCCTCACAAAAGGTCAACAAAAGGGACAAATTAGAGGCAAACAGATCTGCAACTGCTCAACAAAACTATTGTGGTTTGCTTTGTTAGATCCTTTTTTCTACAAGTCCTTTCCCCTGATGTACAGTACAGCTTGCTAGAAAAGGAACACAATTAGTGGCTTTTCCACTCGTAAATATGCTAAAATTGCATGGTAAATAAAAGTTCTGAGATAACATCCCCTGCTTATGCTGCAGCTACACCACTATATCCACCATCCCAGACACACCACATTCATACAAAATAATAATTGCCTGCCATGAAAACCAATTTCACTTCCTCCACAGGGCAGAATGGAAAGTTGGGCTTAGCAAGGTAATGAAGTATGGCACACGCTAAGTCAAGGATGGAGGCTTTGTCTGAATTAATCACTTCTCTGGATGCTGTGGCTTGGCTAACTTTCATATCAACAAGACTGACATATGGAAAAATAATTAGAATGGATGCAATCAACCATTAACAGCGGGCAAGCTGCATTTTTAATACACTTTTCAATGTGTATGCTGCCTGTCACTCCACTCTCTGGTCGGGGTAAAACAAACCAATCTATGGAGGTGTTAGAGTTGTAATCCAGACACATCAATGGCTGAGCTTTTCAGTATGTGCGACAATGTGACAAGGATTTACAGTGCACAGTTTTGTTCGTTGACAATGAGTGAATAGAAAAAAGTACACAGCAATTTTTTGTGACAAGAACGATTAATATAAGCCTGCGATTGCCTTCAGTCTGCGTAGGCTAGCAGCGAGGATGTGCTGCAGCGCTGCACCCCCACTGTCAGCATATCCATCTTCTGAGATTCCAGAGAACCTTTAAACAATCACTGGCCACTTTTAAGCTTTCACAGGTTTCTGCTGTTTTTACACCCAAGTTGGTGTAACAGTGCAGTCCCAACAGATCAGTACTTCTTCTTTAGTTAGGCTCAGTTTAACAGAAAGCTCAGCCTTGAGTCATTTCAGACAAGAGGACAACAGAATACACAAGTCAAGTATTGTGAGGCTGTGCATCCATCTGGACCGATGCTGAGGGCACAGGAGCAAGGTAAGCAGCTGTGCATGACATTTGAAGTTAAGCATGACTAGAAGATTCACTGTGGAAACACTAGGCTGGACAGAATGTTGAGGCATTTTGAAAAACAAAAGTTAGTGTAAATGTAAATGTGTTCACAAAAAGAAAACATATACTTCAAGATCCTAAATCAAAAGCAGCCAGTGTTTCTGGATGTTCATCTCTGCTAGGACAAGCATGCCCCAACAGATGGGGAAGGTTAGTACTAAAAACAGATACAACCACACACACTGTGGGAGTGCTCATGGCAGAACTCACTGAGAGTTCAGCACAGAGTTGTTTTGAACAACCCCCCCTACACACACACACACACACACACACAGACACACAGATGTGAAGCATCCAGATGCTCTGACGCTTAGCAACACTCCCTGACCTCACCTGTCCTCCCCAAGGGCTACACACACACACACACACACACACACACACACACACACACACACACACACACACACACACACACACACACACACACACACACACACACACACACACACACACACACACACACACACACACACACACACACACACACACACACACCTTGCCATATAATTAACAACCAAACACACTGTCTGTATAATGAATCACCGCAAGACATAGCGTGCTTACCCAGGCCAGCAAACAAGACAACATCTGTTTCCATATCCACACAGAGACTCTTCTACCACTGACTGGCCCTGAATATTTATTTGCACTTTTTTGTGTGTTGTAACTCACCAAGCTGTACAAACCTTTTCAAAAGTAATGAAGCTCCTTATGAGATGAATTGAACCAGACTGTTTTCTTGCTGTTAGCATGACTCCATGTCATCAGATACACATCAGCCCCCAGCTTCCCATGCAGGACTTTCAAATCCTTCCACGTATTTTGGACAAATTCAATGCAAGGATCCAATAAATCATTTTCTTACTATTTGTTCATCATTAAATTGGTTACATAAATAACTTGGGTGTGTCATGAAGACTAAATATTCTGATGTTTGGAGCATTCAGTCTCTCAAAGAGAGCAGTGCTGTCTTTCTGCTTTGTGGATAGGGAGAGACTCTGAGAGAGCTGCTCATTTCCCTCCACCACCCTAAAGCTATTTTACACTTGTAAAATTGCTTAAGATATTAGCAAGCAGATACAATACCCAACCAAACTTCAGACCAGTGTTTCATTGATTTAAGGATTGACTCTACAGTAATGCCTGCCTCTGGGCAATTGCAGTCAGAGAGAAGGAATTCTAACATTCAGTGGCGTAACAAGGTTGTGATTGGCCCAGGTGCAAATATTGTTTTGGCGTCTGAGGTCTCATTAGCGCCATAGAGTCCCCTATCGGTTGGGGCCCTTGGGGGAACTGTTGGACCACCGCCGAGCACAGCCAAATCCAGCCTCTCCTCCTGGCTGGCTGGAGAAGAAGGTCGCACAGCCACGGCCACGGATACAGCTTCACTTGTGGAGCTAGATGGCAATGATGGTGGTGAGCTATCGTTAGCCTCCGGCTCCGGCTGCACGGCAACATTGCTAACGTTAGCTCTTATGCTTTGGTTTGCTGTACATTATAAATGCAAGCTATTACATTTGTTATAATGCTACCGAACTTGCTGCTGCTAGCTACAGTACAGTACAGGTTGATTAAACGGTTCGCTCGTCACGCAAGGTATCACATGACATGAAAGGGAGCAAGGTCATTGGACAGAGAAATTACAAATGAATTTAGGTTGCTTGGTTACTTTGAAGACTTTTTTTTTTTTTAAATATATAAAAAAATATATATATATATATATTTTTTTTGCATGGGTCCCTAGCCGGCTCTGGGCCCCGGTGCGTTGCACCGGCTGCACCGTCAATAGTTACGCCACTGCTAACATTGGAAAGAGAGGCTCGGCACATGCTTCACACCCTTTTTTTTGGAAGAAATCTTAGCATCAGCAGACCTATCCAAGATCTCAATCTGTCAAGTTTATTTAGTTTTTGCAGCAGAAGGATCAGAGGCAACCCGCTGCAAGAAGACAGACTTCAGTGCACAGATGCTGAACACTTAGGCATGCCCCATGCTGTCTGTATGAAGTATAGAGCCACAGATACCAGAGGGAGGCTCGTCTGCTCTTATGCAGTCTATTAGGAAGAATTAGGATTCATACAAACCTAATCATATTTCTCATGCATATCAGCAGAGGTTTATTTCTGGCTGCATATGGACCCCCTCTGGGGATGAAAACAAACGAAGGCTAGCAAAAAAACAACTAATTTAATGTTAACGTAAATATGATGGTGGCCATTAAAATAGCGAGAGCATCTTCTGGGCCCCGCAGCTCTTCGTGCACTTGAAAACAAAGCCATGACACTCTGTAAAAGATCTCATTGTAGACCACTCCTCAATGTGAGTTGGTATTCCTTAAAGTTAGTCGGCTGCTGTAGTTAGTATGATGAAAGGGAAATCAGCCAAGAGCAAGTGAAGAAATACATTCGCAGCAGTGGAACCAAATGTAGGAGTTTTAGAGTCAGCCTGGCTGTTGATTACTGATACCGCAAGTGGAACAATATGCAGGTAACTTTAGCATTAAGCATGCACACAGTGTGTTAGACAGAAGAGTTAACTCCAGCCCCCCCGACAGAAAGAGAGAAACACTACTCTACCTTTCTGATGGCCGCGACCCAGCGTCACAAAACCAGAGGAGATGAAGTTGTGAAGGTCAGCGCCTCCACTGCTCAAAGAGCTCTCCTTTCCATAGTGGAGACCTGTGTGCACACACACACACACACACACACACACACACACACACACACACACACACACACACACACACACACACACACACACACACACACACACACACACACACACACACACACACACACACACACACACAGTATTTTTAAACTAGAAACATTAGTAGTAGTGTGTTCCTACCTACACAAAGCAACTCCACTACAATGGACAGAACATGAGTACCTTGGAGAGATACATGGATACCTTCCAGTTCTGCAGGGTTAATACCTGTTCTATATCTGCATTTAACCAAGTTAGGACTCCATATTATGACAATTGATACATAGATTGTTATAGAGTGCTATTAAATTGCATTAGAATAGGGAGGGATGAAACCCTCTTTAATGGTCACACATGCAGAGCACACAGCACACACAGTGAAATTTGGCCTCTGCTTTTAACCCATCCTAGTACAAGGAGTCTAGTACTAGGAGCATTAGCAGACACGTCGGATCATTTGATTTGATCTAACCTTTGTTTGACCAAGGCAACAAGGACAGTGGGAAACAGACAAATGGAAAAGCCAAATATAAATCTAAATGAAATACTTTAGTCTTAAAATGTCAGGAAATAGTGAACAATGCCTAATGCAATCTTATTTTTTCCACAAGAGAAAATGAATGATTGAAATCAATATGTTTATTATATCTTCTTTTTATTTAATGTATTGGTTTTACTTAGTTTTGTATCAAAGTGTGGCTATCCTGTGATGATGTGCATCAAACACCTCTGTAAGCTCACTAACTCCATCTCCTCATTAAAACTCATAGTTTGAAACGTGTAGTCTTCAGAGCCAGCTGACGCTGACTGAAGTTGAATCCATTGAGGACATTTATCGATCTTCACTCAGCTCTATTTGGACACTCCAGCCCCAGATCATTTAGCTCAAATAAAGATCACATGGGGCTGTGAAGGTAAAGAACACTGTGTTTGGTTTTCCATCATGTCAAATGGAGAACTTTTGCACGGTCTCTTATCCTATAGCACAGATGAGAGGGTTGGTGGGGACCATGCGAGGGACCATAGTGCGACGATCCTCAGAAAACAAAGAGAGAAAAACAATATAGTTTCCACCAGCAGCATACCAATGGTCTTTGGACTCAATCCTCTCTGTCCTGCTGTCAGCACTACAGAGAGACAATCTGCTGGGCTTATTTTCCCTTCAATCACACCAGCAATTTTGTGTGTGACATGCACTCACACTTTTGTTGTCTCACTTTGTCACCTTTGCCATTAGTAGGCCTCTTCTCCACTCACTGTGTCAACCCTTACATGAAAGAGGCCCTTCAAAAGCAATCCTCTTCTTTCCTCCTGCTCCCGTTCGCAGCTCATTAAGGTGAGGTAGCATGAAGCCTGCAGGGGAAGGCTATAAGGTGAGGTAGCATGAAGCCTGCAGGGGAAGGCTATAAGGTGAGGTAGCATGAAGCCTGCAGGGGAAGGCTATAAGGTGAGGTAGCATGAAGCCTGCAGGGGAAGGCTATAAGGTGAGGTAGCATGAAGCCTGCAGGGGAAGGCTATAAGGTGAGGTAGCATGAAGCCTGCAGGGGAAGGCATTAAGGTGAGGTAGCATGAAGCCTGCAGGGGAAGGCATTAAGGTGAGGTAGCATGAAGCCTGCAGGGGAAGGCTATAAGGTGAGGTAGCATGAAGCCTGCAGGGGAAGGCATTAAGGTGAGGTAGCATGAAGCCTGCAGGGAAAGGCTATACGGTGAGGTAGCATGAAGCCTGCAGGGGAAGGCATTAAGGTGAGGTAGCATGAAGCCTGCAGGGGAAGGCATTAAGGTGAGGTAGCATGAAGCCTGCAGGGGAAGGCATTAAGGTGAGGTAGCATGAAGCCTGCAGGGGAAGGCTATAAGGTGAGGTAGCATGAAGCCTGCAGGGGAAGGCTATAAGGTGAGGTAGCATGAAACCTGCAGGGGAAGGCTATAAGGTGAGGTAGCATGAAGCCTGCAGGGGAAGGCTATAAGGTGAGGTAGCATGAAACCTGCAGGGGAAGGCTATAAGGTGAGGTAGCATGAAGCCTGCAGGGGAAGGCTACGCATTATGAATTTATCCTCCTTGATACAAAGAAAAGCGTGACTTTCACCTCAACTACGCGCCATGCTGCTGCAGCTGAGGATTCATATGGTAATACTTTTCAATCACATTACTTCTTCACTGAACCTACATCTCTGAACTACCTCTGAGTGGGAGAATGTGAATAATAAGGTCATTATTTTATGAACGGAGTTGAGGGTGGTACTGTGTGCCTGGCATTGTGGAGGTTATCCGAATCAAAAGTTGATTAAGCTCTAACACAGACCCGGAGATGTCATTTACATGGTTTACTGATTTTACAGCATTATCAGATGCCGATGTGCTGGAGTGGAAATGGAGCTGCGCACATCATCTCCATGAAGCCGTTCAGCTGGAGCCCTGCATCGCATGTCTCCATGTCTTTATTCTTCTCTTGTTTTAAATACCATCTTTGCAAAAAGATAGCCTTTACCTGCCCTCGTGAAAATATTATACACACACACACACACACACACACACACACACACACCACACACACACACACCACACACACACCACACACACACACACCACACACACACACACACCACACACCACACACCCACACCACACAACACACACACCACACACACACCACACACACACACACACACACACACACACACACACACACACATACACACAACCACACACCCACACACCAACACACACCAGGCCAAAGGTCCAGTGTATAATAAGGGCCAGTAATGAGATGTAGGGCAGGAGGCCATTAGGTGGGGTCTCTCACATGCTGAGGTGCACTCTGGAGGAAGCTTCTATTTGACATGTTGATGTTAAAATGTGAGTGATGATCTGACCAATTCGCTAGTTGCACGGGATGACCTATTTCTATTTCCGCTTCATTGAGTGTGCGGTTGTAAACTTCGGTTCTAGGTAGAGCGAGTGAGACGGAAGGCTGACGTTAACGTTACCTCGAAAGCAAGGCAAAGAAGATGGCACAATTTTACACACGATGTCTTCAAGACCTGTTGAAGGTTACCATCAGAGATGTACATCGGCTGGTATCCCTAACCCTAAGCCTCAGCCCCGAGGAGCAAAAAGAGAAAAGGGGTTCAAGATGTACATATCCAGTTACATCGACAATTATGAAGGTACGTGTCAAACAAAGCTGTAGTTACTGGCTAACTTTGACAACTTCACAGTCTTGATACAGTGTACAGTGTTTTAATGATGTACTATTACGTGTTTTGGATAACATGAATGATGTCCAATTCCCCACAGTTTCAAACAAAGATCTACCTTCAGGGAGAGTGAGCGTCAGGGCTAGCTGTTACAGATCCATGAGGAAGCATGAAAAGCCTCACCATCTCAGAGTAGGGAGGAAAATAAAAAGTGTTCATCGGTTCAAAGCCTCAATCAGGTTCATGTTCTGGGGTTTTGATGTGGCTAGAGTAGGTAACCTGTGATTTAGGATTAAAAAAAGCCCAGCTAGCTGACGTGTTGCAACAGATTGCATAGTGACAATACATTAGCTCACATCAACTGGTAGCTAGCTATGTGTGTGTAGCATGAAGGGGCTACAGATTTATTTTCGTTTTGTAACCCTCTCGTGTAAAATGATAAATACATTAGCTAAACCCAAACTTAGCTTTCATCAAAGATTATTAATGAGAGGTTGAAAACCGTCTCTGCTTTCATGGAAACCCCAGAAACTGGTTGTGACGGCTGCTGTTCTTTACTGTATGGTTAGTATAATCCATGTAGGGTCCAGTTATTTGTATGGGCCAGTGTTAGGTAAGTGCTGGTTTTGTACCCTACATCTATGTTAAGCTGTTCAACGTTCTACTAACACTATTTTATGTAGTTATAATATAATAATAAGATAATAAATTGAGACAGCTGAGAGAGTTTATCTGTTTGAATGTCCTTAAATTACAGTATTCCAAACAGCAGAACTTCTGTGTATGTGATGTGACTGATAACCTGACATGGTTTAGCCTTTTCCCACACCTACTACTTGCCTGATCAGCCTGCTCTCAGCTTTCTCATTTGTCTGTGTTGTATTGAAGCAGTGTCCTAAATGTAAAATGACTGACATTCAAAGCGGAAGTACTCGCCCTCACCCCCACCCGCCGGAGGTTGATAGACGCCATCTTGTGCACAGAGCGAGTTGGGAGCCAGCGAGGTCACAGTGGAGATGTAATACCTCTCCATAGGTTGAGGTGAGGACGTGTGTGTGTGTGTGTGTGTGTGTGTGTGTGTGTGTGTGTGTGCGCGGGGGGGGAGCATGGCAGGGTGAAGGCTCACTTAATGTGATTATAAAAGTGCCTTTTGATGAATATTAAAAGTCATTAAATCACTATTTGGAAATGTAGACTACACTTCCTGTTGGGTCAGGTGGAGGCTGCTATATAGCTGGAAATGTTTTCTATCATCAGACCTGTAATGGTCCGCAGCAGCTGACCTTTACTGCTGCTCAGACATAGACACTGGCTCGACATTTGAACATCGTCATGCTTCCTTCTTGCTCATTCTGGTTCTTCTGGTGCAGTAAACACAGACCTAGAACTCATACAGTGTGTGCTATATGGAGAATCGTTTCTGTTGAGCAAACTGTGACAGAAGAAGCAGCTACTCTCTGCACTACCTGCAAACTACATTTCATCATCCTGCACATTAAGAAAGTGTGTATGAGGAATGAGCAATACTTTTAAAAAACCCAACAGAGGAAACTCTTTGCCTGTGGTGTCTGCTAAATAAATCAACTTCATCTGAAGCGAGCTGTGGGCCAAAGTGCATTACTCACAAACAGTTCATGTTGACTTTAACCCGAGGCGACCTCAGTGAAGGTATCTCCTCCTTCCTTCCACAGTGTTTACACCCTGACCTAGAAGAGGAAGTGAGCACGCAGCAATGCAGAGTGGATGCCAACACAAATAGCAGCACTTGGGCTGG